TCAATTCTCTCCTGGAGAACGTCTTCGTGAGCCTCTCATGATTTCAGGATAGTTGAAACCCTCTTGAACATTCAGACAGAGTGCATATGAATGAAATCACGAAAGGTGGCCCTTTAGGGGATACCTTGAGTTTGTCTTGCGAAGCAAGTGTTGGGACGTCCGGGTCTAATAATTGATCGCTCAATTCAGACCACCCCCCCCACGCGAATTGATTTTTCAATACAGACCCCACCCCCCCCCCCCCCCTTGGAATTGATTTTTCAATACAGACCCCCCCCCCCCCTCTAAAATCAATTCTCTCCTGGAGAACGTCTTCGTGAGCTTCTCATGATTTCAGGATAGTTGAAACCCTCTTGAACATTCAGAAAGAGTGAATATGAAATTCTAATCACGAAAGGTGTTCCTCGAGGGGATACATACCTAGAGTTTGTTTTGTCAAGCACGTCAATTCTCTCCTGGGGAGCGTTTTCGTGAGCCTCTTATGGTTTCAGGATAGTTCAAATCCTATGATGTTCCGATTCAATGTTCACCGATGATCTGAGCCATGGGGCAAGTTTGTTTTCCTAAGAGTCTTTTTGAACATTTCGAGAGCATATGTTTGAACATTTAGAGTGCATATGAACATATATGTACGAAAGGTCGCCTCCGAGGGGATTAATCACCATGTCGAACATTCCGTTTTTGTTCCTGCCTCTCGCGTTCTCTTCTCTTCCCGCTGTCCTACCTTTCGTGTCTCCCTCCTCTCAAGTTTCTCAAGGCATCTGCAAAGATTCGTTTTTCATCGTATTTCAAGGTGCAATCACATCGATCCCTTTTGCTCCTCTGCGTTTTTGTGATGCGATCCAGAGATCAGCGTTTTGCAACGTGATTCGTGACACATTTCGTGGCCCCCATGACAAAGTTTGTGACTTGTGCGTTTTTCTGTGTAATGTGAAATGTTTGATTGCTTCGAAAGGTGGGATTGAAAGAAGGCCCAAATCACAGTACTGGCAAAGGTGGGATGGGCTTCTCGTGGTTTCTCTCATTTCATTCTTGGTCTGTGAGAGCCAAGGCTTCCTGCAATTGTTCCTGGATTGCTCCAATTAGGATCCGTTTGCAACTCTGTTGACCAGATAACGTACATCAAACGAAGACCAACGGTGTACATCTGAAACGCAACACGCTAGCATTTGGCCCCAAGCGGCCAAAGGGCTGTGCAATGCTGTGCATGTCGACTTTGGGTTTGTGACAGGAGACTATCACAATGTACGTAGCGAGGCTGCGATGATGTTGTGGGGAGGGCGCCGATCATTTTGGCTTCCACACTCATTGCCCCTGCCACATGGAGGGCAAGCTTGTGTGAACTAGAAACAAGCGACAAGTCTCCTTGAAAAGATGCAGGTGATTGCAGGTGGGTCTTTCAGTGGTCGGGAAGGTTGTTTTCAGGGGTGAAATGTGTTTTGGCAGAATTTGCACCACTGCAGCAGAGACATATCCGACCTTTGACAAATCCTTCGAATCCTTGGCTGACGATGGCGCAGCCGGAAGAAGCTTCCGTGGCTACCCCAGGAGCACTTGACAACCTTGTCCAACAATCGCAGTGATTTGCAGGCCGCATTGCTTCATTGATCACCAAGTACTGCCAATGGAAATGTTTTGATGCAGCCCGATGCCTATCGAATCTATATACTACCCACATTAGCCCACTATGCCTTCACACACTTATGGATCTGCGTACTGACGGACAGCGGTGCCACACGCCGGCCTAGGGTACCATTTCCTAAGAGTACACGTACGAACCACTGGATCCTGGAGGTCTTCAAAAAGAAAGGTGGCCAAAAGCTCAAGACGAGGTCGGTCCGACAGGTTGACGGCGTTCCGTGCGTGACTGCAGCTACATGAGGTACCATGCCATTCGAAAAGAATCGCAGGTACGTCGGTGGCCAACTCCGATATCACCAGATCAAGTGGGCGTCTTCGTTGGTAGCGGTCCCAAATGATCTGCCGCTACCCCCTGCTGGAAACAAAACGGAAACAATTCGAAAGAATCCCTGTGACTACAAGGGGCACACACACATCATCACACCCATCATATTCAATGGCACTTGTAGATCTGTGTTGCACTTGAGCTCCAGTTTCTGAACCTTCCAGGTTGCAAGTCTAAGTCTTGGAATCCCACAAACCTACAGCTCACAAGCGACACTCACACAGCATGGCACGGGGAAACGTTGCTTTCCTGACGGCAACAGTTTCTTCAAATTCTAAATTATGCAATCTGTGGGGGTTCACTTTCTTTAGCATCAACTCGCTACTCACTGTACTTTACGTCAATGTCACACACGCCCCTTTACTAAGCGAAAAGGGAACACGCTGCGCCTCCGGCAGAAGTTTCCTAGTAAAGTTTAAGCAGGTCTTTAGAGCATAAAACAGGAAAACGTATTTCACACTCAATGCACCCTAGGAGCAGGGTCCAACCAAGGCAGTTCATCTTCAGATGAATGTTGTCATCAGCTGGTTGTAGTCTCAAATTTGGTACATTCATGAAAAGAGAGTTTGGTTGACAGGCGCAATTTACTGATGGAGACACATACTGTATCATACATTATCATACATGTTGCATAGTTACTCGCAATTGTTCGCGTATATATACAAATAAATGACTGGACCAACATAAAATGTATGTTTCCCGTAGTACTAATGCCCCCAGAAACTGCCGCTGCCTGCGAGTTTGATCCATAAGAGATCGCGCAGGTGCTCGGTTGCTCGACCATCTAAAGGTATTGCCTAGCTCAATGAAGATGAAATCAGACATCTCTATACATTCCTCTGTGCTTTTAACACAGAGATGAGAGTGCTTTTCACGTACTCTGAAGTTGCCAGATATAGTTGAGCCATTGGGGGCCTGTGATTTGAGTGTCACTTTGTCACTTACTGTAAACATCATTGCTTAAACCATCTGAAACCTCAACCTAACTATCCAGACGCAGAGTGACTCGATACCTTGGATGTCGTAGAGAAGCCAAGGATGAATGGGTATTTAAGATATTCAAGTGGTTCAAGATTGATATTTACAGCAGAAGAGCAATATGGAACCAATATAAGCAAGTCAGATCTTCTTTTCAATGTGGGTTCGATTTAGAAAGGCGAGGCCAAAACCTCGACTGTAAACTAGATCAAACCCAAATTTCACCTTAGACGCTCCGCTCCGTCAAGATCGGGATCTGGAGGTGCTGGACTGTATCATCCCAGCACATGAGAAGGATTACAAGACTTTGGGCAGGGGCACCTGACACGCAGGGACACCATCGGTGTGGCTAGGGGTGATTCGTGCGGCCCTTCGGATTCAAGCTCCCTCACATGGATTGTGCCCGCTTGGATTTGGCCTGTCAGGTCGGAGTTCTGGAGGATTCAAGGGGAACCAGCCCAGTGAAACATGCGCGACCAGGTCGTACGGTGGGATCCATCCGCCAGTTCTGCCCGGAGGTCGGCCTTTGGCATTCATTCATGAGACTGCTTGGTGCTTTTTGTGGAAAGTGATGCTTCAAGGGCTTGACTTGGTTTCGTTAGTGTTTTCCAGGTATGCCAAAAATTTGGATGTGCCATTGTTGGCTTCGGAGAGGCACACTCGCTCACCGGTGTTAGGTGAAGCGCATTTTTGTCATCGGTGGAGTCGACCGCCCGAAGCCTACCGAAGCTTGTTTGAATGTCTTCAATTTGAGGCGAACCGTACTACTAGGAGCAAGGACGCTACTAGGGGCTCCTGGCATCGCTACTAGGAGCAAGAAGCTATTAGGGGCTCCTGGCCGTACTACTAGGAGCAAGGACGCTACTAGGGGCTTGTGGAGCTGGTTGAGAGGTGAGAGGAACCACTGACAAAGCCTTGCCATTGGGTCTCTGTAAGACTGTAAGAAGGGTTTTCTCATGTATCGGACCATCAAGGGCAAGGACTTCGGGCCACAAGCCTGAAGTTCACATGTCTAATTTGTATAACCTGCATGTAGTATCTTGTAGTATCACTGCCTCTCTGATTGTTATGTGCGTTTTATTTCCATCTTCATATCCTACGCCCGTGAGAAGAATCTCTCACCCTCAATAGGGGGTGACAAAGCGAGCCCAACCTGCCTCAGCTTTTCGTCATTGTTCTTTTACCATTGGAGGTTGGCAGGCTACAGTTTTGTTCTTTAATCCACACCGACACATCTTCCCAACCTTTCGACCTCGCTTTCGGCTTTATTTGCTCCGGGAGTGCTTTGTACGAGCATATCGGTGGCGGCCCAGACTCCCTCAATCCAAGGATTTGGGGGTGGAGTGGTTGGATGAGGCAAACAGACCGGTTTCCGGGAAAGGGCGACGGTCGAAGATCGCTTCTTTGTTCGAGAAACCAGCAAGGCAATGCAATCTAGCTGGCCACTAAATGCAGCAACCAGCTTTTCCACTCAGCCTCAGTTAGCTTCTCCAATAACCGGAGAGGTCGGTTATAGCATATTATAGCATCCTGTCCGAACCGATTCCTCCTGCAACTGCGGATGCACGGGCAGACATCCACGCACTGCCTGACGATCCATGAATACATGCAGTTTGGCAACCAACTTGAATGAATGATCGGAGTATCTTATCTTCCCAGAATCAGAATGTCCACATATTGAAAAAGAAACATGATAATTAGTCAATGTGTCCCCGATGAAAATAACTATGAACAGTTGAGCCATCCCCACCCCAAAAAAGTTGTCTTAAATGGCCAACATTTGCCAGGGTTTTTAGGGTTTCTTTTGGTGAATCAAATTGGGAATTGGTGGAATGGAAAGAACGGGAAATCAGAAGATATTCCTTCATTTGAAACTATCGGAATAGGACTTGGGAACTGGTGAAACGGGACATGAAAGTGAATTAGAAGAAATGAGACAATGGAAACATGAATTTGAATCAAACATAGCATGATTCTATGGGTTTGTCCACTGTCTGATTCTTTTTTTTGTTTGATGTAGGGTGCTTTTAGTAGCAAATTACTGTAATGAACCCCTGACTCCTGACACACAAAATCAACTTTGGCCGGCAGAATAGCTTTGGTCGATTCGCTGTTGGTGAGTCCTTCACTTTGGGGAAGGCAGCTAACTTCTGGCCTTTCTCCCATGCAGATTTGGAAGACTGCGGATGCCGGTCGGTGGCCCAAGTGCGACGCAATGTGGGTCTTTTGCACGCTGCATGTGACTCGAAGTCTTAGGTGCAGTTTGTATGTGTCTCACCCATCAGGCTACGACTCACACTTTGACTAAGTGACACAAATTGTTCAAGCAGGCTGCTTTGGCGCTAAGGACTGGATGGCTTCTTCAACAACTCTTGAAGCCCGGGGATCTGTCTAGCTCATTCCTGGCTGTTGAGTGAGGCAATGGACTCGACACCCCTGGACTCGATACTGCCAATCGTGGGAAACTTGTTGTTGGCGTCACGAAAAATTCCCAGTCGGTGAGTTGATGAGTCCTTTTGCAAGTCGAGTGACTTCGGCCTTGGTCTCTTGCAATATGTAGGTCACAGGTCAGGTCCACACACAAATCGCCCCTTGAGGCTGTACGCCCCTCTTCTCATTGATGGTGTGGACCTCGGGTCCCGCCTCGGGTGTCGACGAGCGGGCTTTATGGAGCGCACTTCGAGATGGCCTCCAATCTAAGAGCGATGGCCTCCAACGTAGTCATTCTTGCGGGTAATAGCAATGCATGGCATAGCGATGAATAACGGACACCAAGACTATGCGATTAAACGGTCTTTCTGCTTGGATGGAGTTCTTTGCTTTACTGTATATTGTAGTTGGTTGCCGATATGAAATATGTGTATCTATGTGAGTGTACATATATATATATATACATACAGTATCTATATATATATATATACATCAGCATTATTGACATGCTCTTCCCGCTACAGACTGAAACAGACAAGCTGCCAGGAAGCCGACCCTAGTCTCCTGCTGCACAATGGCAATTTTTGTGTACCAAATCTAATCTTCTGAGATTTCAGCTATTGCTGAGGTCCCTCCAATAATGCAGCTTCATTGTTTGTCAGCTTTCATCACAACAGCTGCTTTGCAGGTTTGACAGACAACGTGTTGGTCTGCGATGCTGATGTTGCCGCTTGTTGCCAGATTCAACACAGCTACAGTTCATGCACCATGGGATACTATGTCAACACTGTTGGGTTCTGTGCTTTTGCACACAGACACATTGTAAGTAATTCTGCACAAAGCAGCAACAGTCTGTTGATTGCGGTCATTGCACTGTACACAAACAGATTTTCGACCATGCACTATGGACTTGCCTGGCAAAACAGGTTTGGCTAAAACGCGTGAACTTTCTGTTGCCTAGCGCGTGGGACTTAGTCTGCTCAAAGCGACGGTTTGCCTCATGGCTGTCATTTTGGAACAAAGGAATTGCTGTTGAGAGACATGTTGAAAACGTTACTTTGTTTCGCTAGTGAGTAGGTTGGAGGCCATTGCTCTTAGGTTGGAGGCCAAGCGCTAGTATGTTTCCACCAATGCTGGGGTTTTAAAATTCCTGTTAAACAACTTGTGTTCACAGTCTTTTGTCCAGCTTCGACTCTCTTCACCGCTTGAAGTGGTTCAAACTTCCAGCCGAAGGGGCCCTACAGCCTTTGACTCCCTCAGAGCGCCATGCAGAACCAGAGTGCTCGCGAGGTTTTGCTGGTGGGGAACAAGGAAGTGGATGTTTTGGCTTTGAAGGAGGTTCGTGACCTTCCAGAGAAGCGGCAGAAAAGCAGGGTGAAGGAGATCAAGACTGGTGCACAGTTCTTACAGCAGTTGCCCAGATTCCCCAAACACCGGAAATGTCAAGACCTCCCATGGGCAATACTCTTCTTGCTTACTGTAATTGCTTTGGCTGTCTATGTCGCTTACTTCCTCATGTCAGTGAGCGTCAATGCAGACTCTAGCTTCCAGCATTCAAAGACCCATGATCACTTGACACCACAGGACATCAAAAGTGATGCCATGACTGCAAACCTCTCTTGCATTGTTGGGTGTGTGGGTGGGCTTCTTGCAGCTTTCCTTTGGGTGATGATGGCACGCGCTTGTCCCGGACCAGTGGTCTACATTTCGCTCTATTTGGTTCCAGCCCTTTTCGTGGTGGGCGGAGTGGTGATGATGTACTTTGGCATGCAGGGCTCGCACATGGACCTAGGCCTGGTGATCTCTGGAGGAGTGCTCATTCTTGTAGGCGGGCTCTCCTTCATCTTGTACACTTGCTGCTGGGCAAAGTACATTCCATTCACTATTGAAGTCGTTGAGATGGTGGCCGAAGTCTCTAATGAACACCCATGCATGATCTCCATTTCTGCCATTGGCGGTTTCCTGAGTGCTGTTTGGGTGGTCTTGTGTGCGATTGCTTGGTGGTCCTTTGCGGAGAAACACAACACGGACTACAAGGATCAGAACAAGGGGGTCATGGGGCCAGTGGATTTTGCCTTTGTGCTAGTCTTGTTCTGGGGTAGCGGTGTCATCCACACGGTTTGCCATGTGGCCTACGCTGGTGTTTTTAGTCGCTGGTACTTTGGTGAAGAAGAGGCCCCTATTTGCAAAAGTTTGCAAGCTGCTGTCACTACATCTTTTGGGAGCATCGCCTTTGGCACATTTATCGTGGCAGCCATCAATGCCGTGCAGGCATTGATCCGCAGTGTCAGAGTTGCCTTGCAGGAAGACGGAAATATCGTCGGTTGCATCCTCATGATGATTTTGGAGTGTGTTGTTGACTGCATTGGTGATTTGATGGAATACTTCAACGAGTGGGCCTTCGTTCAGTGCGCCATTCGGGGTAGTAGCTATTGTGAATCCGCACGCATCACTTGTGCCTTGTGTGCTTCCAATGGGATTCAGGCCATCATTGGAGATCTTCTGATTGACCGCGTTGTGAGTCTTGGAGCCTTGTTCAGTGGTTTAGTTGGAATGGGCCTGGGTGCTGGTCTAGCTATGGCAAGGAAACAGGTGGACCATTCGCATATCAGCTCCGAAGAAGTCCTGACGATAGGCATTGTGGGTGGTCTCCTGGGCGGGCTGCTGGCAGGCGGAGGAGTCATGACGATCTTCAGCAGCGGGACCAAAGCGATCCTCACATGTTGGGCTGAAGATCCGGATCGTTTGCACGAGGAGCACGAGTTGGATGATATGCACACAGAGTTCAATGATAAGGTGCGAGGCTATGAGATGAGTTGACGCCCAACGGTATGCCCGCTGAGAGTTAATGACATGTACAAAGACTCAGTCTTTCAATTCTGCGGCACAAAAGTCGTCTCAGTCTCAGTATCGAAATTTGAAAGGTTGTCCACCTTTGCTACTGCTATTGGTGAATGTATTGCTTCCTCCAGCGGTCCAGTGTGGTTCTTGGTTGGTGGGCCGAGGCCGCTTGTTTGTGCACCTTCGACACCAACAACTGCCCTCCAATCAGGAGTGCAGTGGATTTGCACCGCAGGATGCCCCAGTTGCTTGCAAACGCGTGCAAGCCTAAATCAAATCACATGCGGCTTCTGCTCAGTCAAAAACGAGCCGAACTGGGATGCTGCTATCCAAACATGCACGCGAAGCACCGACCAACAAGACAATATTTTAAGCCTAAGCATGCCCAAACATCATTCATAGAAGCTTATTGGATTATCCCTTTCTCAAACTGATTTTATAATTGCCAGAAGCAATGAGCGGCAAGTTAGTCGCATTATCGTTGAAGTACTTTGCTCACTCGGAACAACCAAGACCAAGGTGAAGCTTCGAGCGTGAACACTGAGGACTGAGAACCAATATAATATATATATATATAGACTGTGCATTACATATATGTAATCATACGATAAGTAAGGGGACCCTATGATAATCATTGAGCTGTTGGGTCATTGTATGTCATTGTAAGGTTATGACCACTTTGTACCGGCCATGCTACCTGGCGTGCAGAAGCCTAGGCGCGGCTGACCAGCCGGGTTTGTGTGATTATGGGAGTCACTTGGGGGTAGCTATAAGAACGAACCGCCAGCGTAAGGCATGGGACGTTGAAGTCCAAAAATCTAAGAATCTAGCAGGTGCAAATAACGGGCCTTCAAAGTATATAAAATTTATTGGCCCGTATGAGGACCACTAGCGTGCCTTTGCAGCCCACATTCAATAGAACTTGGACGTGCTTGTGGTGTGGCTTGTGTCCTTGATGCCAACAATCATGATGCAACTGACTGCAGGCCTGGCAAAGAGACTGCAGTTTGCCATCACATGGTTTTTCAGACGCTTGGAAGTTGGAAGGCCACCAATATCCACCAAAGCTTGCCGGATTGAACATTAAATAGAGAGTATTAAAATTAGACCAATCTCTGTCCAGTCAGCATTTTATGGATGTGTTGGTTCATTTTCTGGATCGGGGGAAGTCAGGAAAGATATCCTCAAGCAGCTCATCGCAGAGGTCGGGGATTGTCTTCATGGGAGTGTTCTGAAGATTTTGGCTAGCCTATATTACTATCGCTAGAACTAGGGAAAGATGGGAAAGGTCATGCATCATGAGGTGTTTTTTCTCCTCAAACCGGGCTTTGTCACTGTCACTCTGGTGGTTCCCCATACTGCTTCCAGATGAGAAATTCAGCCGTTCAGATTTTCGCAAAGGTCTAGCGACTATAGTGGGCCCACGACTTGCAAAAGGTCTTGCCTGAAAGTGCAACAAGGTGAAACACCAAGAGCAGCTAACAGCATCACTTTCTTCCATGTTCTTTCCATTTTGTCAAGGAGGATTGCTTGGCAGGTGGAGGCTTCCTGGGAGCGCCCCTTTTGGAAAGCCTTCGCAGAAGCTGTAGGGTCACCGAGACATAGAGCGGTCCAGGTTTGCGGCATCTCGTTCGGCTCACAGCGCTACAGTCAGCTCACTCTTTGTATTTTAAGTTTACAGTCTAGTCTAGGCTCACAAAGATTCTAGGCCAACTTTGTTCGCCAACTTTAGGTCTAACAACTATGCGCTACATTGTTCTAGGGCACTTGTATTCACAGCTCTACATATTCCATCATATTCCTAATTACCAATGTCAGGCCTGATGCGGGCCCTTTCCCAACTCATTTGGGAATTCTAAGTGTCGTGTCCTATGTGATAAAGGGCATGCAAGTGTTTGTAGCTGACAAATCACCACCCGCCTTTCCTGCTTCGCAGAGGTTCAATTGCAAGATATTGCAAGAGGCCAAAAGATTGAATTTGCCCTACCCAATCAAACTTCAATCTAGTTTGTGGCCCTGAATAAGATTGAATAAGTCCACCTACTTCTAGGACTGTTGGGATTGACAGTCTGCTTTTGAGGCCAGACAATTGCAGGGCCGGGCATCGGAGTATGAGTTGTACTATGCTACTTCACTGCATTGGATGGCATCAAGCGTTCACACTGCGCACTGCACTGGCCTTCGAAATCTGGAGATGAGAAGACTAGACGTGACTTCACTCCAACCACTCCTGAGGATAGGAGCCGCCATTCCGGTGCAACGTATGTTCTTTTCCTGTGTGTTCGTTGTTATCTCAGGGTCTGAACTCTGAAGAATCGTGGGTTTCCATGAAACCCCTGCGATTGTGGGAAGGTGAACTGGTTTCGGCTTGCTACGCCGCATTCCTGAGGCCTTTGCCATGCATCGGTGCCCTTCACAGGCAGAGCGAGAGCGGGGTACATAGGCACATGTGCTTGTGGCGTATTGTTTATATACTGTTTATATACTGTTTATCTAAATTTTAGTCAAGATTGCGTTGCTTAGTTCCTTCCAGTTGTTCAAAGTCCTCAAAGTGTTCTCTATCCCTCGCCAATGGCTTGGTTTGTCCATGCAAACTTGCATACTGGCATGGTTCCAAATCATTTCAGATCTGCAAGCTTGCAAAGGAAGTCACTGGCTGGCACAGCACCTTTATTTCATGAGTCATGAGTGTTAAATTGACGTGATAAATTTCGTAACTGGACATATGTGGACACTAATTTGTGAAAAGCAAATAAAGAAGCTCAACACGATTGGAAAGGATATCACACAACACAACAATATAGCAATTAGCGTTGAACTGTTTTTGCAAGCTCTTGCAGAACAAACCTGGAACAGGTCCTGAAAAGAGTCTGTCAAAAAACTTGGACATCAAAGGTAGTATGTTCCAAGGTGACATAGTCAACTTTTTCCTTGGCCTTTGTGAAGTTTGGCCACTCACTCAAATTAGCTCGGAAAGGCGGGACATTGCAGAACATGCTCAAATCTGTAGGGACTATACGTGTTTTACGGGATGATTGAGTATGTGGAGAAGTGCTCGGCTTTTGCAAGGGGTAGAGGGTCAACCTTGTGTGGATGGATTTATAAGGAATCACACTTTAATGGCACTCGCAGAACACCTTTGATATGCCATCAATTTGTGATCTCTACTTGGGAAATGCCATCAACCACTTGAGGCTAGATCCCGGAACAAATTGATGGCATTTAGTCAGATTCTTGAAAACAACGACGTCCTTCAAAAGGCTTCAACCACCAGCTGTATTTGCATGCAAACATGTGTGCAGCAAACAGGTTGATGACATCTGGGCTTGGTTGTGTTGCCAGATCGCTGGCTTTGATCATGGTGTGTCATCAAACTGTTTCAAAATTTCCTTCAAACAGACTCCAAACATCAATGGAAGAAAGGAAATAAAGGAATTAGATCAGCCAAATAACTACTTTTTCTACACTTTTTCTCCTCTCCCCCTGTCTCTGTGTCTATTCCCTTAACGGAGTACGGTGGCAGATCTGAAAGGGTTCACCGGTGATCCCCGGAAGAGCCGGTCACCGGTCCAAAGCGCGGGCGACGGAATCCTAAAACTGCAGAGTCACAACACAGCACACTTTGATGGCATCCACGCTCAAAACATAGTTCTCCAGTAAGGTCTTAGTGGTACCCCATTTCCATCAGCTTTGTTCAGCACTTTGCTGAGCAGCAAGCACCGATAGCTGGGAAAGCACTGGCATCCCAGTCAAGTTATAAGCACTCAGATTGTCTGTCACGCAGAAACCTTTGAACACGACATGGCAAGCTAAATATTGATACGCAACGCCTTGAATGTTCCGTAGTGGCCCTAGACATGAGATTTCTGATGTTGCATTAAAGTTTCAAAGCGGTTATGGGAGTTTGTGCTTGTTTGTGGAGGGTCGCAATTCTTAGAACGTTTGTTCTCAGTGCTCCTCTTGCATGCCTGATGTTGCATATTTAAGCAAGTTAGAATGGCATGGGACCCCAACATGCGATGCCAATCTTTTTTTGTTGGTAAATTTTAATATTTTTGTTATTGCCATTGTGACTATCATGGCCAAATTGGATATCAGGCCAAACTTATGTAAGCACTTTGTTTGTTCTAGGCAACTGTTCTCAGTTGTGCTAGCTAGATTAGCTAGCAGGTTCTAAGCCTCAAAGCCTCTTCCCCTTGTCAACCATGTCCAAGTTTCATTTCTGTTGGGATGCAGGTGCAGACACGCGCCTTGCCATTTGCAGTTGTGGCGGACATTGAGGTTGGATTTGCTAGGGTGGCACAGTCTGTAAGGAGACATGTAGCAGCTGAAAGAGCGAATCGGCGAATCATATTAAACATGTTTGGGAAAGCTAAGCTATCGGGAACTAGGAGCACCGGTGGATGTTGATTTGGTGACGAACTCCTGATTGCTTATTTTGCAAGGCAATGATGAGCAAATCAGTGCCACCAGTTGTGTTTGCAGTGGTTTGGCTGGCATGCTTTTTCGTTTTTTGGTGGTTTGTCGCACATTTTTTGGACAGTGATTGTGGTGTATCTGCGCATTGAGATCGAAAGTATTTGATTTACAAAGGGGTGTAATATTTTTTAGATATGTAATAATGAGAGGGAAGACATGTTCAATTCAAAACCCAGCATAGCTGCGTTTCCATCCCCAGCATGCACTGTTGTGTGGGGGTTGACGTTGCACAAAAGAGCCTTTGTTGGTGTCATTGGTATGAAGTAACGCCGCGATACATATTTTGTACACCTCCAGAGTGCTTTCAAGAAAGATTCTGCTGCTGCATGCTGCTGCCATTTTATGTTTTGTCCACGTCGAAACGTTCTTTCCAGGCCCACTCTCACCTCGAGGGTCTTTCAGCCAAGGCATCATCATGCTGCTTAAGTTGGTTTTGCTTTTTGTGACAGCCAACATCAAGTGCGTGGTGGAACATGCACGTTCACGACTAAGAACCATATATGCCTTCAATTTGCGTTGAGGAGCTTGAAGATCGGGAAGGTATAATCAATGGCGACATAGAGGCAGAGAATCTGTTGGCATCTTAGAGCACTTCCTTTAGCGGTTCAATTTATTTCGGCATCAAATTCTTCACAATCAATCAAGGCGTCGATTTCTACAATTAATTAATCCAAAATATGTAATAATGCGACGATGCGAAAGTCGACCGTACTATACTGGTCTCCATATATTAATTTCTATTAATATATATTATTGTTAATATATTGCTAAATATGCCAAGGCAATTGTAACGAATATGGCGCTTATATATTATATATCTTTAAAATGGGATATATATTATCCATATATATATTTTTGGCTTAAACACTTATTAGGAGAAATAAATGCGTAGATTTTTTTTGAATAATAGAAATAATTAAACGGTATGGTTACGATTCGCTCGATATTTATTTATAAATTATTAATTATATCGTAATCGTAATATATTACGTATTATAAATAAAATATTTATTGAATATTGATTTGCAATATTAAATTTTGGAGGAAATGTAAGCGAGCTATTTGTTTTTGGAATGGTATTATTCTAGGGATTTATAGGGTATTTTTGTTGTGTGCGATATTGATATTTCGAGTTTATATTGACGTAATTTTAAATAAAGATGAATTGGTTGGGGATTGGTTGTATTCGTTTTTTAGATGGTGTTGATGTATGTCGATGTAGTGAATTGATTATGTATGTGATATAGATAGGGCGTGTTGGATGCGATTTTAATGAGAATTTAGAATTTATATTTTTATAGGATATTATTATTGATCGTATATAAATTGAATTTAATTTTGAAATTAAAGGATTTAAATAAATATTGGTATTATTGATGGTTAATTAAAAATAGGAACGTAAATGTTCCGTAGGTATTTAGGCATAATGATTTGGCGTAGATATTTATTATAATTAATATATGTTATTAATATTTTTTTGAAGATACTTTATATAATTTATTATTATATATATAAATTTATCCGAAATTTTATTTATTCCGATTTTTCGTTTTTAAATTATTGTTGTTAATAAACGTCGCTAATTTATATATATTTAAGGCAGATTGCGTAAGATGATAATAGTAATAGTGGTGGGTTAAATTTATTTTTAAGCTTATCCGAATATTGAAAGATTTATTATTATATTGTTTGTTTGCATAAAATTTTAAAGCGAAAAATATAATATGGAAACGAAAATTTATATTCGTAGATTTTTTTTTATAGGTAAAGAAGAGGTTTATGGGCGTCGTAGGCTTGCACTATGGAAACGTTGGCGACATGTAGATTTTACCGTAGGAATCTTTGAATGATAATAATTTTTATATTTAAAACAATTTTTATTTATATATTTTGAATTTGGATATTATTATTGTTATAAGATATTATTTTTGATTATATATATTATATTGTATTTGTTTTTTTTGAAAGCGCCATTTTAGCTTCGAGTTACGGTAGCCATTTCTTTGAAGATCTTTTCGTTATTTTCTTTGGTTTGTGCTCTGGAATTCTTGGCCTTTACTTCATTAATGATGTTTTTATTTGGTTGCACTTCTTTTTATTAGGATTGAGGCTGATTTCTTTGCTCGCAAATCTAGGCCTATGGACGCTAATGCTCCGCCTTTTATTCCGAGCGGATTTATGGGTGGCGTGAGGGTTGTCCGGGACTCCTTAATCCCGGATGAAAGTGGAAATGTTTTTCTCATTCGATAAGAGTGCTTTTCCACGAAGCCTTCTGAGGTATGGGCTAGAGGAGGCTACGGCCTTGTCGTTTTTCGGCCGCGTATCGTTTAGATTAAGAAATCCTATAAGCGAGCTTGCTTCCGAGCCTTGTAACATGGTTACACGCCTTACCGAAAAGGCTATCTTTTTGATACGGATGTGCCTTGGCGCCTTCGAGAAGCCTATCGACGCCATTTATAGGGCAAGTAGAAGTAACGGACGCCATAAACGACTCTTGGCTTTCGATGCATGACCTGGAATGCATCGAAAAACTTGGTATATGACGAGCTGTTGCATTGGAGTAATTCTTAATCTCTGGACATCATTGCCTTGTAGGAAACTGGTTAGAACTTCAACTCCACCTGGACGTCCTAGGGGTGGCATTGTATCCACTCCTCGACGAAGCATGCAACCATCCTGGAGCTCATCCGTAGTACCCTGGCAAGACCTGAACAGATAGCCTCGGCCTCTCACTCAGATGGCCGCCTTCTACAAATACGCCTCTTTTTGGACTGCACATATGACTTCATCATTGTATATCAACATGCCTGGAATGCTACCAAAGACAGAGAACAGCTTCTCGATAATCGTGCCAAGATTTGGACTAGTTTGTAGCAGCTTTTGAATTATGTTCCGCAGCAGCACCAAATGGTCCTGATGGGTGATTTTAATACCACCCTCAAGTTCGATCCGCCGCACATTAATAGCCATGATACCCGTGTATCCTTGAGAACTCACACCGATCGTGACCTTCTTCAGCAACTGTTGAAAGCACAGGACCTGATTGCGTTGCATTGCAAACAGCAGTATGCATCGACCTTTGAACATGGCTCCCATCATTCTCGAATTGATTATGTTTTTGTTCGATAACATTAGGTTCAATTTCGTCGTATGCAACCCACCATGGATAGGAATTTTATGCGCAACTTTGGTTGTCACGGACCTCATCATCATCCATTGTTCTTTGTATTACCCAGGTGGTTCGCGCCTCGGAAACCGGTGCTTCCGCTTAACAACATTGATAGATTTGCCATTCGTACGGCTAGACTTGAGCACACTGCACACTGGCAGCAGTTCGAGGTTCAGATTCGTCAGTGCATTGCCAGACACTCTCCACCTCACCAACCGCATGAGGTCTCCATGCTCGCTTTGGAACAGGAACTCCGAATTTTATGTTCTCTTTTCTTTCCCAAACGGAAACCACGGGTCCCCCATGCCCCGCATATTCCCTCCATGGCTGCCAGGATGTGGATTGCTCGAAAACAAGCTCTGGCCGTTCGAGGACGCAATATTCGCGATCTCTTTGAGTGTTGGGCTCATATCACCACCTTCCGCACCATCCACAAAGCCATTCGTAAACAGAATCGACAGAATAAGAGGGATAAATTGCACACGATCCTCACTGAGGGTGCTGATCTTGCCCTTCATGGACGCATTTTTGACTGGTACCGGAAGATTAGGCTCCTGTGTCCGAAACAAAGACCGAAACGCATTCAGCTCTTTGATCCTCATGGCATGCCTTTAGCCCCACGACAGGAATTGGAATCCATTGAACAGTATTACACACAACTGTTTGCTGATCCGAAGTTTGATGTCCAGGAACTCGAACCCCTCACCCGACTTCCTTTCGACCGCCAGGATGTACTTACTGAGCTTTTACACCTGCCAAGCACTAAAGCCCTGGCACCAAACGGATTGCCAGCACTGATCTGGAAACATTTCGCGCATGATCTTGTTGATCCTTTAATGCACCAGATTCAGCAGGTTTGGCTTCGATATCCCATAACCCTTCCGGACCATTGGACAACAGGATGGATTCACCTCCTCACGAAACCCAATAAATCCCCAAGCAAACCACAGGCACTCAGACCGATCTGTCTTCAACACCCGGTCAACAAGATTCTTGCCGGAATCCAATGCAGGCAGATAGTTCTGCAGACGTTCGACAGACTTAGATGTCTTCCACTCTGTGCGTATTTGCCTCAAAGAGGAACACGTGAATGTCTTCTCATCGTAGCAGAACATTGTAGAAATGTACGCATGATGTGCAAAGATGTCAAGACTGGTACTCAGCCTAAGCTGCTTGGAGGCCTCCAGGTTTCATTAGATATGGAAAAGGCATTTGACACGGTCAGTCGAACCTTAGTGCTTCGAGCCTTGAAGGTGTACCATTTGGACTCTGACCTCTTTCAACTTGTGCATTCGTGGCTCACCCCTCATAAGTATTGTATTCCCTTCAAGCAATTGATCCGACAAATCCAGGCACATCGGGGCATCAAACAGGGGGCCAAAGATGCCCCCTTACTGTGGACACTCGCCATGAGCCTCGTACTAGTTGACCTTCAGACTAAATACTCCCACCAATGGCTTCATGAGCACATGGTCGTTTACGCAGACGACATCCACCTTCGGTGGCTAATTCGATCGACAGCCCAAGCCCTTGAAGCTCTCACTGACCTCCAACATGTGTTGATGACTCTTCAAGCCTTGGGGTTCCATGTCAACCTTCACAAGTCAGTGGCCATGCTTCGACTCCAAGGGAAAGAGGCACCAGCCTTCCTTCGTGCTTCCGCAATCTCAGGTCCTGGCTTGTGAGTGATGTCCACCCCATTCGAACCAGACTCAAGTTATACAAGCAATGTGTTCTGGCCACGGTTCAATATGGCATTCACGAAATGGGATTGACTCAAAAGGGATTTCGACAACTCATCAGCATGATCAACACACATCACCGGACGATTGCACACTCACCTGTGTGTCTCACTCATGAGTCCACCACCAATTTCTTTGAACGCATTCGTGAACCACCTCCATGGACAACCATCCTCACCCAACGACGGCGGATTCAGGAGGCCCTGTCGACCAGACGGGCTCACCTCCGCCTTGAAGCCATGGACAGCGAGATGCCGGATGTGTGTGTGTTTGTCCCAGATCTCTGGATTGAACCTTTGGTCAACCTCCCTGATCATCAATCCACCCTGGATAGCACTCACAGTGGCCTGTCCGGAATGCCATCGAACCTTCCAGCAGGCAGAAACACTGAAACGCCACATGAGACAGGTTCATCAGGTTCCATGTGAGCCCGACGACATTTTTCAGCCTTTGCGGGATGCATGGCAAGGACGTTCGATTTGGACACATTGTTCACATGTCTTCGTTGATTTTTACCGACTTCGTGACCATATCAATAAGCATACGTGTCCTCGCTTTGATCCTGCTCAGGAGTCGATCGTGCCGATCATCAACCGACCAAATCTCAAAATGCATTTGCGCCACAAGTCTGTCCCAGGTCTTTTGTTGAACACGGCCTTGATCAATGAGATTGCCAATCACTGCACTTTTTGTCACATGCGGATTGCTGCTCGCTCGATTCGAAAGCACTTCACGGAATGCCATCCGGACCTGACTCCATCAGCCGAGCATTTTCGAGAACATGTTCATGGCATGGCCAACATTGGAGGCGGTCGTAGTAGATGCAGTTTTTGTGACAGTGAATGCCGTGATACAAGAGCACATGAATGTGGAGTCCTCTTTCAGATTTGGGTCATGATGGGGCACACCTTTCAACCCGAACACTTCCCCATCATGCCTGTCATGCAGAAAGCCTCCAGGACAGTCACAACTGAACCTAGCTCCATCTCCATTCCACCGCCGACACCGGCCCCGCCAGGTTCACATGAGGCTACATCAGCAGTGCAGACAAGGCCTGATCCGCCTGTCCCTCGTGCCATAGAGGTTGATGAGTCTCATACATCCACCACACCACTGCATGCCTGTCCTCACTGTCACACGAGATTCCTGACAGCCACAGGCCTTGAAAGACACATGTCAACCCATGGACATGAAGTTCAGGCAGATGGACAACTTGTTCGTGCCGCCAAGATTGCGAAACTTGACACCGTTCCGGTTATGTTGAACAAGCCTTGCCTGCCAATCGAGGCCCCTTCGAAATCCTTTCAATGCCCACTGTGTTTGCAAATGGTCGACCGCAAAGCCTTAGCCAGTCATTTGTCCAAAGATCATCAAGTTGTGAAACCACCGTTCTTTGTCTTTCGACCTAGTCGTGACATGACACCGGGACGTTTGGCTTGTGCACATTGCCATACCACCTACACGTCAGAAGCTGCCCTTCGTTTGCACTACCAGAGAGCCAGCTGCCCATTTTGTTGATTGAATGGGTCAAAGATCAACACTTTGGACCAACTGTGAAGACGCCTGCTCCGCCTGAGGCACTTGAACCTACGGACTCCCAGCATTTGTGTTCGACCAGCTTTTCCTATTCAGGGAGGCCAGTCCTGGTCGTCAGTGCCCTGTGCATGCCGGATGACACACCTGCATACACCAGTGACCTGTCTTGGCCATTGTTGGCCACACAGCATCCATGACCACTGCCAACGTTCTGTATAGCCATGTTCCTTTTTGGCCGGAGCTTCGACTACGATGGTTTCATGCTTTTGTCCATTGGATGGCACACCTGTCCGACCTTCCGCAACTCGACCTTGAGGTCTCACTGCATCACCGGCTTCTGGACCTTTGCACGATGGTGGTTCCGTGCCATTGGGCTTGGAACTCAGAGAATCAGGAACTCCTGCAATATGTTGACATTGCTTTCCATTCGACAGCCTGGATCCAGCACTTTCATTTTCACAGCCTGTTGTATGAACTTGAACACGTGCTGGCCCAAGACTAGTTCCATCGGTGTCTTGCTTTTGGCCTCAGAGATGGAACGTATGAGCGGCGACGATCAGTCTTTTGCAGAGCTGATGGATGTTTGTGGAAGTCACTTTGCAAAAACGTCCCAGAATGGAGGAGGAGGACAGGTCATCAGACCGCCGACCTGCACGAAAGGGACAGAGGAAGCCTTCGCGCTCATCGGCTTCGGACTTGGGAGAAGATGGCAATTTGATCTCCATGCTCGCGAAGTTGACACTTCGTCAAGAGGACCAGTTGAACCAGATCCATCTCGACAAGAGCTTCATCTTCTTTGTCCAAGCAGGAAAAGGCAGCATTTTGCCACTGATGTTGAAGACATCAAAGGACTGGCATGGGCAACGGGAGGCGGGGCAGGTCAACACCTCACTGAGGCAACACATGTTTCGCTCTGTGTTCGAGGAACTGGCATTCAGAGCATCAAAACTGCCCTTCGGATCAAACGATCACGAACTGATCCGGGTCCTTCAGAACAAGCAAGTATTGACGGCAACCAATTCATGGAACTATCTACAATGGGACTCCAAAGAGAAGACTTTGAAGCCAGCAGCCCGAGATCCCCTCCCCTCAGAGGAAGCCGCAGCCTTGATCCAGAAGATACATTCTCTGGCAGCTCAAGCGGACCTGATCCACCGGTTCTCAGCTTTGAAGCCTATGCCTCAGGATTCCACGGTGACGGACTCAGTGGTTGTGCCTTGGAGATTGGACATCTCCCTGAGGGGCCAAGCGGCTCAAGATCTCTATGCTTCCCTTCAGCAATTGACCGGCAGCGGGCTTACGCAGCTGATCTTTGTTCGAATCCGACCATCGACCTTGCAGAGGTCACCATTGGCTCAGGCCATTGCAGCTCGCTTGACGAAATGAGGAAAGCCATTTTGGCACTTTCTTTGGGGAACGGTTCCAACCTCTGCTACATGAATGCAGCATTGTTGGCTGAGCTTTGGGCATGCTGCATGCCTGACACCTTTGTCTGGCATGAGGTTGGAGAATGGAAAGATCCTTTGATTCGATTGCTTTCGTGCAGCAACCAGCATCAGGTACTGACTGACACCAGCTATTTGGGTCATCTTTTGCACTCATGGTTCACGAATCATGAGCCGGGGACACAGCAGGATTCTGCTGAGTTTGTTGGCTGGCTTCGACAAGCCATGCATGGGGATGCACATGGTGGTCAATCCACCTCCAAATGGGAGGCACGGCTTGAAGCAGCCACTGAGGATTCAGGCCAATTGTACGCTCCGATCCTCCTTCAGCATGCAAAAGATGGTGATTGCACGATTCAGGAACTGATCAATCTATGGCATGACCAAGCTCCTTTCCACTGTGTTTTTTCAACTGACACGACCACCGTTTGCCTTCAGGTGAATAGGTTCCCAGCCATGGATGTTAGATCACCCCAACCCTTTCGATGGAATCGCATTCCTGTGCACTTGCCCTGTTTCGTCAATACCCACAGCTGGACAGTCCACTGGAAACGTTTTGAGATAGTTTCCCTTGTGGTTCACCGAGGCGCCGAACCTCACACCGGCCACTACCAGGCCTGCCTTCGGACTGGAGGCAGTCGCTTCCTGACTGAAGACTGGAGTCGAGCCATGCCATGCGCTCACACGACAGACCTTGAGCATGACCTGTATCTCCTTTGGCTCGTCGACAGCACACATCTCATGAGCGCATGGAGCTCACTTCTTTCATGCAATCCTTTCGTGCCTTTTTCGAGCAGCCATGAGCACTGATGAATGATGCCGCCCGGGGCACTAGATGCGCCAGACGCAGCCAATCTACGGATTGAAGCCCAACACGGGCAGAGCTCTCTCTGCCGGAAGTGAATAGTAATAATAATTTATTTTTTGGAAATATATTTAAGGGTTTTTATAATTTTGCAAATATATATTACGAAAGGTAGCCCTTTAGGGGATACCTTGAGTTTGATTTGCGAAGCAAGTGTCGGCGAATCCGGGTCTAATAATTAATCATTCAATTCAACCCCCCTTCCTCCCCCCCTCGAATTGATTTTTCAATGCAGACCCCCTCCCCTTGGAATTGATTTTTTAATATACCCCCCCCCCTCTAAAATCAATTCTCTCCTGGAGAACGTCTTCGTGAGCCTCTCATGATTTCAGGATAGTTGAAACCCTCTTGAACATTCAGAAAGAGTGAGTATGCAATTCTAATCACGAAAGGTGTTCCCCGAGGGGATACATACCTAGAGTTTGTTTTGTGAAGGACGTCAATTCTCTCCTGGGGAGCGTCTTCGTGAGCCTCTTATGGTTTCAGGATAGTTTAAATCCTATGATGTTCCGATTCAATGCTCACCGATGGTCTGAGCCATGGGGCAAGTTTGGTTTCCTAAGAATCTTTTTGAACATTTCGAGAGCATATATTTAAACATTTAGAATGCATATGAACATATATTTACGAAAGGTCGCCTCCGAGGGGATAAATCACCATGTCGAACATTGCATTTTTGGTTCTGCCTCTCGCGTTCTCTTCTCTTCCCGCTGTCCTACCTTTCGTGTCTCCCTCCTCTCAAGTTTGGATTAATTTATTATTATTATTATTGGTATTATTTTTTGAATAACTAATATAGAAATGATTTTTGAATTAATTTCATATTTAGGTAAATGAATATAAGATAATTTTTTGATCGTATTGTTGAAGTTACAAGAATATAGAATAAATATAAAATTATATGAATGGTATGATTATTTTGATTATAGATTAATTAGGTGATATTAAGAATATTAAGATGTACTAATTTCGACATAATTGGATTTGATTATATATGCGTAAAATTCATTTGTTTTATTTTGAATTCGAAGGAATAAGATTTGGAGGATTTGATTTTTTATTTTAATGCTATTGACAGCGATTTTGTAAACGGCTATAGATATATTAGGTGGCAGATTGCACGCAATGAAAAGAAGGCGGCATAGAGATCGTCGCATTGTGGTGAAATTGGAGTGGCCTTTCCAAAAGACTCGAAGTTAAGCCCCGACAAATTTAATTAGAAAAATTACAGAAATTATCGAAGGAGAATCGAATTATTTGAGAAACAATGCCATCGAAGAGGTATTGATGTTGCCATTGAAGGTATACTTTTCTTGATTTCTCGACTACAGTGATTATAAGATTTGGCCTGGGATTCAATAGAACAGATCTCCTTCGAGGCCTTGGAAAGGAACAGCCGATCCTTCACCTTTGTATATGAGGTCTTGGACAATTTGTATCAGTATGAGCAACAGGTGGAGGTTCCGACGCGTTATGAAAAATTCTTTGTAGAATTTCAGCGCTTGAAGAATGAGGACATGACCTTCTACCTGGTTAGGCGTCGGACGTTGTTGAAGAGAATGAAAGAAGTTGGAGTTGAGATGCCATCGCTCCTGTCTGGTTGGCACCTTCTCACTCGTGCCGATGTTCCTCGTTGGACTCATGTCCAGGTGAAGGCCCTTTGCTAAGGAGAGCTGGAGCACGAAAACGTCCAAAAGGCTTTGATGAAGATGTTCGGAGGAGACCAAAAAGATCTCAGGAAGGTCACCAGCAGCAACATTGACGTCTTCTTCTAGGACTATGACGTCGAGGATGAAGAAGGCTACTACGAAGAGGAGGGCTTCGAATGGTGGGAAGACGAAATCCACTATGAAGAAGACGAGGAATGGCCTGAAGAAATGGATGAAGCAATAGATGTTGTTGATGAAGCTTTCATCTCCTACCTGGACAGCAGACGACGAATGAGGGAATTGGCCCTTTCGAGAGGATTCTTCCCTGTGGTTGCCCTTGGTCCTGAAGTTAAGGACAAAGGAGGAGGAAAAGGAAAGAGCTCGCCAAAAGTAAACGACAAAGGCAAGAATTCTTCAAAAGGAAAAGGGAAGAATGGTTTCCGACGCACCTTTGACAATCGTCGACCCATATTAGGATTATGGAGACCAACAAGCTCGAGCGCAAGCTCAAACCAGCAACCATGGACCCCGATTCAAGCGTTTTCGAGTTCAGTCCAATGGCATCAAGGAAACTCCAGAAGAACGGGTGTCAATGGTGGAAGAGAATGCAACGGTCGATGAGTGCTATTTTGCCGTACTACTACCTGGACAGGCCATCGTCGATTCAGGTGCTACGAGGACAATCGTGGGTGAAGATGTCTGGAAAGAGTGGTTATTTTTTGCAGGTGCCCTGGATGTTAAGATCACAGAGGCAGCTCGCGACTTCAAGTTCGGAGGTGGCGAAATCCTGAGGTCAAGCTACGATATCACCTTTCCAATCGCTCTTCCAGGACAAGATTTGTTCGTGACAGCCTCAGTGGTGCCAGGAAAGACACCTTTTCTCTTGGCCAGACCCACATTGGAAGAATGGAAGGTGCAGCAAGACTATGAGAAAGGCATGCTGCGCATCATGAATTGGTTCAAATCTGAAGTTGGACGAAAAGGACACTACATCGTGAACTTGTTTGAGAATAACGATATGGATGAAAGCAATCTGGTGGAAGAAGCCTTGGCAATTCCGGAAGAGATCAAAGTGATTATGAAAGAAGAGAAGACTTGCTGGGAGATTGAACCTAGCATGGAGAAGGAGGTGAAAGAAATTGATGAATGGGTGAAGTTGGATTTTGAAAATGAAGGATTGATCACCAGGTTCTCATCAATATCAGCTCCAAGCCCAAGATGACCTTTTTCGAGGTCTACGTGGATGAAGGACGTCTTCCCACAAAATTGATTCAAAAGTATGAAGGTGTGGAAGCTGCTACTTTCACTTTGCCCGAGTGGGACTTCAGAACGGTGGAGACCCAAGAAGGTTTCATCAATCTGCTGAAGCGAGTTCGCCCAGAACATGTCTGGTTGGCCCCACCATGTACGAAGTGGTTAACAATGCAAAATCTCAATGCGTTGACTCCAGAAGCTCGAGAGAAATTGCGTAGAGAAAGATGGGAAGAAGAAAAAGTGCATCTCAAATTCGTGGCCAAAATTTTCTATGCATGCGCTGACGCCGGACTTGGAATCAGCATGGAACATCCTAGAGGAGCTGAGTCCTGAAAGACAAAGACCATGGAGGAGATGGACACGACCTACCTGATGGACGCCGAACGTGATCGATGTCGAACTGGATTGAGTGTGAAATTGACCAATGGCTTGATCGGCAAGATGAAGAAACCAACTCGCATTCGGACGAACAGCCCCCTGGTGTTCGAAGCCCTGAATCTCTCTTGCAATTGCGCTCCGGGAGAGCATGTGAAAATGGAAGGACGATCTCGTGAACTCAAACAAATGCAGAACTATGAGAAAGGATTTGTTCAGCGAGCCTCTGAGGCCATCTATGAGGATATGTGCCAGAGATGGCATGATCATGAGATGTTGAAGATCTTCGTGACCGATGAGGTGGACGAGCTGGAGGTGAAGAGAAAAGCTTGATGAAAACACATGGAAGAAAAGCCTTCCAAATTGTAAACAAGCTTCACCGACAACTTGGCCATCCGGGGCGTGAGAAACTGATCCATGCGCTCAAAGATGCCAAATTCCCGGAGGAGGTGATTCAATGTGCGCACAAATATTCTTGCGAGATCTGTCAGATTGAAGCACCCAAGAAGCTAGCACACCCGGCTTCTCTGGACGAAAGAAATTATTTCAACGAAGTGATCGAGATGGATACTTTTCAATTGAAATGGGGAGATGAAAAGGTCAAGATTCTCGCCATCATCGATCTGTTTTCCAAATATGAGGTGAATGCATTGCTGCCTCGAGACCGAAGCCGCTGAATTCAAGATCATCGAGGACCTGTGATTCCATCCTTTTGGATTTCCAATCAAGCTGAAGACCGATGCCTCAGGAGCTCACATGAGCCAGAACTTCATCGACGCCATGGACGGATACAAGATCAAATTGATTTTGATCCCCAAGGAGGCATACTATCGATTGGGAACCATTGAGCGGCTACATGCAGTCCGCAGGCTTCAATTGCTGAAGATGAAGAAAGAGCTGCCCGAGATCAAGCTGGAGAGCGCCATCCGTGTGGCTTGTGACCAGAGAAATCGATTGAGGTCAGTGCATGGTTCATCCCCAGCTGAGATGGTCTTTGGTCGAACTCCCAATGTCGGGCCTACTAGATGAACCACAAGATCTTCGTCCTGAACTACCCACGGCTGTGCAAGAGAATGTAGCTCTGAGGTTGGCCGCTGCCAAAGCATTTCATTCTGCCAATCATGATGCCTTTCTCCGTCGCTCTCTTCTCGCTCGACCACGATCCGAGCACGGGCCTTTGTCTCTTGGCTCATGGGTTTTCTATTGGCGGCAGGGCGATCAAAAGCTTGAACCCTCACGATGGTGTGGACCTGCCATCCTGTGCATGAGTGAGCCCCGTGCCACTGATTCAGGTTCCTGTCGACCGAGTGTTTATTGGGTTGCGCATGGATCTGCTTTGGCTAGAGTCGCCCCTGAACATGTTCGAGCTGAGCTTCCTCGTGAACGACTGGCAAGATTGCAGCATTTTCCTGAGATTGCCTTGAATCGCCCCGTGCAGGACACCATTCGCCGCGCGCTCCAACCCGTTCGAGGTCCTGTTCGTTTTTCGGACCTTGCTCCTGCCATTTCGTCCATTTCGTCTGACTCTGGGGGTACCTCTTTCGCGAACGCTTCGAGTGCACAGCCAGATCCAATTTTTCACGACAATGCAGCGGCTGAGCACCATGAGGACTCCAAAGAAGACCAGCAGGAGGACCCACCGGCTTTGCATGTCTGAAGAACCCATGATTCCTGAAGAGATGCCTGAAGAGAAGGATCAAATCATGCCTGAGGATCGTCAGAAAGCAGAACCTGAAGATCAACCTGTGACAGAGTCAGTTGGTCGAGAGAGAGAGAGAGAGATCGTTTAAGGAGTCCTCCAGCACGTGATGAGAAAGCCCAAGCGTTTCGTTCTTACAACATGGCATGGCAGCTTGACGGCATGGGGCCAGGAGGAATTGATGGCAGATACCTTCAATGAGAAAAAGCTGAGTGCAGAAGAGAAAAGGAATTCGACATGGCTAAGGACAAGGCCTTGCAGGTTTGGTTGGATAATACCGCTTGCAAAGCGGTGCCGGAGTCTGAAGCTCGTGAAGGTGAAATGATCCCTGCCAGATTTCTGTAGCGGTGGAAGAAAAAAATTTAAAAGTGGCAAATGCCAGAGTCATTATCCAAGGCTTCCGCCATAAGGACGTGCTGCTAGAGGAGCTGGATCGAGAGTCACCCACTTTGTCAGCTCGGGTGGAAAGTGTTTGCTGCTGATGTCAAGAGCGCCTTCATGCAGTCCAAATCAATTGATGAGCAGACTCGTATTTTCATTAGGCCAACCGCTGAAATGAGAAGACGACCGGAGCGTCTGATGGGCCGTGGGAGCTGCTCAAGGCGACGAAACCCGCCTCTGGAGATGTCCGGGCACCTCGACAGTGGTATGAATCTGCACCAGAGTTTTTGCTGGAAGAGGCGAAATTTTTGGTGCATCCACTGGACAACTGTGTATTTCTGAGTGTGAGAAGGGCGTACAGTGTACAGTAATGATCCTGAATTTCAGGTGTTTTTGCGCGATGGTGTGCCCAGCATTGTCGATGCTATTTTGGGACTTCATGTTACTGATTTCCTAGGCTGCGGAGAAGGAGTGAGCTCTGTAGAAGATGCCACAGGAGCCAATACCACCGAGGAGGAACACTTCGAATGATTCTTCAAGAAGAGATTGCAAATACTCTCAAAGAAGTTCCGTTTTGGCTCTTGGGACTTTCAAACCCTTTTTTGAGGCACCTCCATTGAACAGAGCTTGAACAATGACTTGATCACGCTGTCGTTCAAAGAGTATGTCCACAAGATCAAGCCCATCACGCTTGACAAGAGCCGAAAGACCATGAACGATTACCCGCTGGAAGACAAGGAGGTGAAGGTGTTGAGAGCATGGATAGGAGCGATAGCGTGGCCCGCAACCGTCAACGACATCAATATCGCTAATAAGCTCTTGAGATTTGCCAAGGAGGTGGTACAAGGCTACTGCATGACCCTTCGTCGTCATGGATCCTCCCTGGTTGAGTTTCGTTTTGGCGTGTATATAGACGCAAATTGGGGCATCAGACCTGATGGAGCCTCCCAGGGCGGTCACGCCATCTTCGTTGGGACTGAGGTTGAGATGAACGAAGGCAAATATTTTTTCCATTGACACTGGCGAGCTGGCATTCTAAGAAGTTGACGAAAATGTGTCGCTCTTCCTTGTCTGCTGAAGCGCAGCCATCGACGAGACCGAGTGGACCAAGATCTATGCAGCAACGATGGTCTGTCCTACAGTGCTGATTGCTGAAGAAAACACATTGAAGATGTTTGGGCAAATCCCAGCGCTGACAGATGCGAAGTCATTGTTCGATTCGGCTCGATCCGTGTCTGGTGGTTTGTATTTGACGGAGAAGCGAACGGCCATTGAGCTTTGCATCGTGAAGGAAAGGCTCAATGCCATGCTGGGATACCTGAAGTGGGTCAATTCCACTCAGCAGGTGGCAGATGGTCTAACCAAGCCAAGTGCAAAAGACCAGTTCGCTCACATACTCAAACGAGGAGTACATGCACTTCGGTATGACCCCAACTTCACGGCAGCCAAGAAGGTCTCCAAAGAGGTCAAGGCAGATGAAGAAAGGGAACAAGATGAAGCGGCTCTGCGTCTTTTTGAAGGAGAAGTATTGGAAGTCGAAGACATCCCAAAGGAGATATGTCAATTGCCAGGATGTGGCAAGAAGCTGACCCAAGACCAAGGACATCATCGCTATTGCAGTCGAAGGCACCACTACAAGGACTATCATCGACGAGGTCAAAGTGAAGACTTGTAGGAGAAATCTGCCAAGATGTTCGTGGCTTTGTTGGCAACTCATGCATTGAGCAAATCTGGCGTTTAGGCTATGACCCTCGACATCAATGAGACGAACTTCAAAGACGAACGCCTATGGTGGATTTTGTTGGTGGTGGTATTTGTTTCATTTGTTGGCTTTCAATTTGTGATCTACAAGGTCTATGTGTTCGTGCTCAGGCGTGGCTCCGGTCCCGATCGTCGTCCCTGAAACCAAACCGTCGCCGCAGATATCAAGTCGTCGCCCCAAACTCAGCCCAGCAAGCCTTCCAAGGATGATGACCCGGTCACTATCATCATCCAAACACCTTGACAAGAACTTCCAAGGGTGATGCTCCAGATCAGAGCGTCGCCCTTGAAATTTGTGAAACTTGAGGTCCCCAAGGATGACGCAAAGAATCTCCCCAGACTCTCCCCAGTGGTTCTCTCACTTGTCAAATCGAAAGCTGGTCAGAACCTGTTGGGCAAATTTTTCAAAGAGTTGAGGCTTTCTGCATTGCTTCATGATTAAATTTAACTAAATCATCCGCATGTTCATATAGGGTGATTATGAGGGATCTCCCAAAACCCATATTGGAAACATTTTGTTCCATCTGAGTGTTGTGAGAAGAACCAAGATCAAACATCTAAGGTGGTTGCAAACTGCAGTGATTCCATGTCAGTTTGTGGAGGAGGCGCAAGATCAAGACTATGTTTGGCGGCGCATCCAGGTGTCACAACAGCAGGCCGAAAGACAGAAGAAGAATGTGATTCAGCTCTCACTTCTATTTCACAATCGAGCAGAAAAGGTTCTGAAGGACTGACTGCTTGCTTGCTAGTACTGTTGGGTGTAGGACGTTCCAATGCTTGGGCAGATAAGAGTAGATTCTGTAATCATTGCACGCAACTAAATCTCAACTAGTTACCTAACCGGGACCTGGTAGGAGAGTGTTGGGGAGCTGGACTACGCCGCTTGTTGGGACTGCGGCATTGAAGAGTTCAACGCCTATGGCATTGCTGCGACATCCCCCAAGCATCGCATCGACAAGTCTATATCTAGCCTGATGTTTGGGCTCAAGGTTTGGGAGCTTCAAATCATCATTGGATAGATAAATTGTCTGTAGAGAATCAGTAGTTAAGGTTTTCAATAGGTTTTCCCAGGGCAAGATATGCATAAAACCCTTCTTTGCAACCTGTCAGAATGGTGTATGCAACGATGTTTGGCGACTACTTGAACAACACTTGCATGTGAACCGCTTCGAAGCCTCAGGAGCTGGGTGTCGTATATTGGATTGGTGTTTGAAGAAAGGTTAGGGCCATGTTTAGTGGTCCTTTAGATGGACACTCATGTCTGTTGCCCATGCCCCCCTGCAGCCTTCCACAAAGAGAATCTCCTGGCGACGAGGTGGCTGCTCAACGGTGTTCCAAAAACAGCCGAGGGGATTTGGTATGAGGCCCTACAAATGGACGAGTGCAAGCAGCTGCTTTTCATGGAGAGGGTGTTGTTCATTTTCGATGTCACGAAGATCAGGGCCGGAAAGGCCCAAGTGATCAGAATGAACTCCCAGCAATGGCATCAAGAAGCTGACATAGCTTGTATTGCAGGGCATATCATGAACCTCATGACCAACTTCAGGACCGAGGAGGACAACCTTGTTGTTTTCCCTGCTGACACCATGGCTATGGTGAGAAAGCGCTTCATCGAAGGGACTCTCGCTTTCTCAATAACCTGGTGTAGTACATTGTGTTTTTTGGTTGCCCAACCTTTTTGGAATGAATTGTTAAGAAGAATCAACCTTTTTGGTCGCCTCCCACACCAAAAAAGTTATTCTTTGCTTGGCTTATGTTACTCTTGGCTGGTTTATGTTACTCCCAACCCAAGGGACTTCCATGATGAGCTCAAACCTTTGGTGGAATGCCAGCACCCAGGGTTTCGTGCCAACGACACAGATCTTTGGCGTTCGAACATGGCCGATGTTTGTATGAAGAGCTCCACTCTGGACGCTGCAGACAGTGAGATCAGCAAGCTGGAAAAGAGCAAGAATGATGCCCAATTCCAAGCTGACCAGCTAGCTCTGGCTAGAGACGCAGCTCAGTGTGCCAACCTGTTTCAGAAGAGTCAGCAATCAGAACGCTCAGCTCGTTTGGCCCGCGTGATGCACTTGAAACAGGAGAACTCCATTGGTTGTGGCATCGTCATGGAGCACATGGAGAAGAACTGGAAGCATGTTGGGGGTCCATTGACCACACTTCAACCTGTGCTAGATGAGGCATGGGTCACACAGTAGGTGATAAATGTTACATCATGTTACTAAGTCATGTCAAATTTGTATTTTGATGGACTTCCCTTTTCTACTTGTTGATTATTCAACACATCATCACTGGAATGTGACAACAATGGAAACAATCAAGTTTGGATTTGAACCAACAAACGTTGACCCCTGAGTTCATCAACCGCATGAAGAAAGATAAGTCCAGTGTGCTGGTTTGGGTGGACTTCATGAAGTTTGGTCGCTTGAGTGTTGCCGACCTGAACCACACGACAGAGCTTCTTCAGCGGGTCCTCTCAGCTCTGCCAGAGCAATCGTGCGGCTTTCTGATTGCACCGCAACTCACCTCCGAACGGCGAAGCTCATTGAGAGATGAATGGAGGAGTTCTGGGGCCTGGGTGACTGAAAAGGGAATTGGTCAGTTGTGGGAAAAACTCAAAGGAGAGGTTGGCCCGTTATGGGAAAGCTCGAAGTGACCTACAACATCCTAAAACATTCAAAAAACCAGTGCGACCCTGGCCCTGTAAACAGCAGAGTCCTAATTCCTTGCTCGTCAACACCAGGAGGGTCGAGGACAAGCTGGATGCCAGAATGCTCGTGGCTTCACCCATCAATATCCGATGTGATGTTCCACCAAGCTCCAAAAAGGTTGCTAACACTTTTCCTGGATGGGCTGTTTTCCAGAATGGTACCATGGATAGCAATGTGTGGAGCAAATCCATGATGATGCAGGACAGGTGCCCAGGCTTGTATGTGGCATGTTTTTCTGGGTATACCACCGGTCAATGGTTCACACATTGTTAAATATAGAGAAGTTAAACATAATTTGGGGTTACATCATGTTCCATATTGAAAATCTGAGGTCAAACAGAGACCTTCTTCCGTGGGTGCCAGAGAGCCAGTATGAAGTCCCACAAGGAAAAGACCATTTGCCTCACGCTAGCGAAGGAATGAGGCAGGTGTTGCAAACAAGTATCAAGTACACTGTGTCACCAAAAGTCACTTAGCATTGACAACCAACCCAAAGACATAAAACATACTGTATACCACAGTCAACTGTTTCAACAGAAAGCCTTTGAAGCACTGTTACTCCCCTGAGGGCACTCTCGGAGGTGCAAGAGACAGCCCAGCTGCTGACCGGCTCTGCCCTGCCAGAATCGATCTTGAATTCTTTTCTACAGGGATCCGATGCACAGTCAACCATCGGAGTGATCAACTTGAGCCCGTATGACGCCTGCCTTGAAAAAGTTTGCCTTCGCTTCCCCTGGACAACGCTGGCAAGAAGATTCGATCTTTGTCTGTGGCGACAGATCCAGATGTGGTGAACTACACCCAGAAGCTGGTTGCCATGCACCTCCTGCAGGAAAGGTGTTTCCATAGTAGTTAGTTTGTTTCCAAATCAAGTTGTTCAATCCAGCCAGCTTGCTATGTTTTCATTGTTCGGGACTTGCTAAGTCTCAATCCGTTCCAGATCATAGGGATATGGTCTCATGACTTAGACTTTAATAGGAGTATGGGCAGTCTAGTCGCAAAGGTAGAACCCTAGCAGGAGGAGAAAAATGGATCGGATGTTCTCGGGGACGTGCGGCGCTATGACCCTTCCCCACCGCCAGCAGAAGAGGTGGACGCTGAGAAATTCACGTTCAAGCTAGCGACTGTGACAGTGGACAACAACAAGAAAGGATGGAGCCGATTCAACTTTTCCCTCAGCAACGAGGTGCGGCAACGTCACCTAGGGGATCCAGTTCATTGCGAACAATGGAAAGGACTCATCCAAGAGTTCGACCGCAAGCTTCTCGCCAAGTTTAACTCACATGTTGATTTAAATCCTGCAGCTTTAAATAATATGTTGCTTTACCCCAAATCATACACCCGCATGCACTCACAAAGTGGCTGGAAAACAGCATAGACCTGTGCACAATCATCAACTTGGGCCCAATCCTATTGAAACTAGCATCCTTTGAGGTTTGGTGCCAACAATACTGCAGTTCCTGAGAGCGCCATTGTTCCCGCTGAGCCTGATGCTGATGAACCACTTTCCACCGCGTGGTCCTGCGAGCCACAGGAGTTGCAAGGCTTGCTGGACACTTACGTCGTGGAAGCTCGTTTTTCAGGGCGGCACCCAGGAACTTCCTTGTACTTGATGGTGGCAACCCGTCGCCAAGGGGAGTCGGTGGCCATGATCGAATCCCAGAAGTTCAAGCTCTTCCTTGTCCCTAGTCAACAAAACAGTGAACAATAGTGAGCAGTTCTTGAGAGCTGCTACTCACATTGGCTGTTTCATTGGGGTGGTTTGGCTGTGATTACTCTGCCAACATCTGCCAAGTGTTGTTTATCTTTTTTGCCCAGGTGGCTCACCAAGACATAGATATTGATTGCAAGGAGTTCATGATTGGCCATGGGAAGTCCGCCTGGCTGAAAGCAGAGAAGGTAGCCAAGATGGAACGCGAGTGTGCAGGAGGCCGGCCATGACTGGGTGTTCACTGTGGTTTCACCGCTCACCGCTCGCCCGGTCGTCCTTTGCATGAATTCGTTCTCCATGCTTCTCTGCCTCAGCCGTTTTACAGTTGGGTTGGGCTATAGGTTCAATCAAGGTGTCTATCAAAAGGATGGAGGCAAACCAAATGCTTTCGCTGACCGATGTGCTTGCTTTACATGGGTTCAAGCAGGACTCAACCAAAAGCTTCTGGATTGTTGTGGGATCAATGATGGGGCAAAACATTTTGGTTGCTGCCAGTTTCCTGTTTATCACCTGACCCATTGGCCATGCTGCAGGATTTGAGTTCAATGCTAGATGACAGTCCCGGAGCATTGGAAACGCCTCCTGCTGTCTGCTCCTCAGAAAAGCCTTCACCTAAAATCAACAGACGCACAAAAAGAGCCTCAGAACATATTATATAACCCCTTAGAGAAACTCTATTATAGAGACGATAGTTACAATGGATAAAACTGAGGTGCCTTTGAGAAGCCCTTTATCAACCGGTTGCCGCGCGACTGGAGGTTCTGATTCCAAACCAGTGCACCCACCACAGCCCCAGTTGCCTTTGAGAGCGAAGGCTGCAAGCACCATTGGTAGTTCCCACAAACAACTGGATCCCGAAGCACAGAACACATTAAAGCGTCAGTTGTCTGCTGCACTCAACAATGTTGTGGAAGAGAAAAAGAGCCAACAGAAGCCAAGAGGTAGGAAACCCAAAGAAGACAATGAGAAGGAAGAGCGTGAGACTGCACCACCCACGAAGAAGAAGGAAGAGACTGAGCTTGCACCCAAGCAGAAGAAGAACAAACGCATCAATGAGAAGGAAGAGACTGAGCTTGCGCCCAAGAAGAAGAACAAAAACAGCGATGAGAATGAAGAGACTGAGCTTGCACCCAAGAAGACAAAGAAGACTGTCACCAAGAATGAACAGACAAAGACTGTCACCCAGAAGCCAAAAGATCCCAGCCCAAATCAAGAACATCCTGAAGACCCTGAACACCTTGAGGTCGAGGAGCCAACCGCTGCAAAACAGAAGAAGGGCGCCGCTCAGGCCAAGAAGGCGCCAAAGGCAAAGGCAAAGGTTGCCAAGGCTAAGGTTTCAAAGGCATCAGGTGCTAAGGCTTCCCAGACTCGCTAGCCCAGAGCGAAGAAATCCGACAACAAGGTCTGGTATTGGCGTTGCTTCAATACTAACACATGTCAATCCATTGGCTTGTAATTTTTTGATCTTCTTTGATATTTTGTTTGCATCTCTAGCTGGTACATGTGTATGTGTGTGTGTGTGTCAACTGGGCCCTCTGCCAAAAGGAGGAGCCTGAAGAGGCACCGGAGTGCGAAGCTGCACCAGAGCGTGAAGAGGCCCGGCCTGGTCTGGCCAAGCAACAAACGCAACGTGATGAGCATAGAAAACAAATCCATAATCGACACATCACATGTCGACATAGCATTTCAAGAATTTCCAATGGTTTTTGCCTGATTGCTTCGGTCCAGTGATCTTTATTTATTTTAACCTGATCCAGGCCAATATGGAGGAACATGGAGATCTCTCGCAGGAGACCCTTTGTTTGCCTGGTACTGGCTCGGATGAGGAATGCCCAGGCCTTGCTGGGGGATCTAGTGCTGTGAAATCTGAGAATGGCACTCCTCCTGATGATGGCGATGATGGTCATGAACCTATCGGTGGCAATCCCGCTGAGCCAGCAAAGATCAACAAGAGTGAGACGCGCAATGTGTCTTTGCACTCCGTGTATTGGGCTGTGGTGCACGAGAATCAGAAATTTCTCAAGAAGAAGTACCCCAACAAGAGTAGGAGGGAAATTCTCGCAATGGCTAAGAAGGAGTGCTTTGTCTCAAAGGAATTGAATCATCATGCTCATTTGTATGTTTAATATTTTTTTCACAGTCTCAGTTGGGATATGTCCTATGCCATTTGTGATTCGTCTTTCGATGCCAAGGTGGGAGAATCATCCAGAGCGCCTGAATGCAATGAGCCATATGTCAAAGTCTGAGCTAAGCCGTCGGCGCTTGACCAAGAAGCAATCCACGGCATAACTACTGCTGGCCTGGCAAATGTCAGGACAATATTTTGCTGAGACCGTCGGTCTCATTTTAGCTCCAGGGGTATCATGCTGCGCCTTAGTTCACATCGCATTTGATTGCCGTGTGTGGCCAGCGAATCGAGGAAAAATGCCTGCCACACTGGAGTGCAATACCACATATTTTGTGTTTTTCGTGGGGGTGGCACACCGTTTGCGTCATCAACTTTCATATGAGCCAGTTGCTCAACCTTCAGTTGCAAACACTCAACCTTCAGTTCAAGATTCATTTCGGATTCTATGTGCTGCAGGCAATATTTGGGCATACCTATGTCAGTTTCGCCTCGTCAACGATCTTGCCAAAATGGTTTTAGAGATTGCACCGGAAAGCGGCAAAACCACCAGTGACAGCGAGGTAACTACCTTGCGTGGGTTGCTCCATGAAATGGAGGAAAAAGGCTTGGTGGACACCAAGGTGAAAGAGCACTCACTTGATCGGCCTGGAGCCACTGATGGAGGCCAGCCATCCCCAGCCATGGCATGGAGACAAGTTGACAAGTCTCATGATCATGGATACTTGCCTGTCCTATGTCCTAGACAAGTTTAGCCTACGTGACCACGTTTGCAGTTTGATTGTTTTGATTGGAGGTGATGATGGAGCCGATCTATTCATCTTGAAGCCCAATGCCTCTGCTGGTTCGATCTTTAGCTACACCCCGTCCACCTCTGGATTGAAGTTCAGCATAGCAACCTCAGCGTTTCCTGTGGATGCCCAAGATTTAGACTTAAATTGGTTTATGCAATGACATGGGGATATGGTCAAATGATGTGGTTATCTAAGCTTACAGGATGTGGTGCATCAATGAATCTGCTGGTCAAATGATGTGGCTATCTAAGCTTACAGGATGTGGTGAATCAATGATGTTTCAACTTACAGGCTTGATGCCAACATTATGCTCACCAAAGCATGGCGCGTCACTTACATGAAGGCAGAGAAGGAGCTGGGCTTTGTTGTCCTTGTGGGTTTTGTCTATGTTCCAACAAGTCTTCCACCCAGTGGCAACTTCTGCAGAACTCACCAAAATACACTGACGACAACATGGCATGGCTACAAGAAAGGGACCTATAGGACCAAATTGTTGGTAATTAGTTAGTTGAATATACACATGACGCTGTTCCCACCCCGACCTGTGCTCGTGTTGAGCCTACCACTGTTGAGCGTAGCTAAGCTATGTTCAACTGATAGTTAAAGAAATTTATACAACCCAGCCCCCACTACTGGGCTGTGGCTGATACCATGTCTTGAAATGTTTCGGTTGTCTAGTTGAAACATGTTGAAATTTTACTTCATTTCTGATGTAGCTGCTAGTTCTGCCCAATAAAGGCACCTAACAAGGTACTGAGCAAGGCTCTAGTGCTTCAATTTGCAGTGAGCTGCACACGTCTTCCCTGACAGGAGCTATGGCCTCGTCTCTTGGATTTCAACAATATGTTAGTTGAAAAATGATGGAAGCAAGTGAACCCAATGCATTTGTTCATGTAAGTAATGCCTTCCAAGGGAAACCACTCTATTTCATGAAGAAGCCTGTGAGTTTGAAGGCCAACGAGGTAATCCGTTTGGTCCAATGGCTTTGGGGACACTCCAGAGAAAGAGTGTGTTTTGAAAGCGATTCCATGGGGGTTGCAAGCTGTGCAACGACAGAAAAAGAGAGCAAAGCTACAAAGCGCCTCAAAAGTCAACAGCTTGATGTGGCAGCACTGCAGCCCCTTGATCTATACCCAATACGCGCGAAGGCAATGCCAAAAAGAATTAATCTTGTTTGAGCGCTTGGAGGTGGATGGAAACGATATGATACACGATTTGTTCTACATGTAGCTCAAACCTCGATTATAATGAAACAAACCTCGAATAAAATGAAAACTACTTAATATTTTGTTTTTTTAAAATAGCATTTACGTTTAAAAAATATATTAATAATTGATAATACAATTATTTAAAAATAAATAATATATATATATTATAAATAGAATATATTATTATTATTATTCACTTCCGGCAGAGGTAGCTCTGCCCGTGTTGGGCTTCGATCCGTAGATCGGCTGCGTCTCGCGCATCTGGTGCCCCCGGGCGGCATCGAATCTTCATGGCTCTTGGCTGGTCGAAAAAGGCACAAAAGGGTTGCAGTGAATCAAGGATCTCCAGGCGCTCGTGAGGTGGGTGCAATCAACGAGCCACAGGAGATACAAGTCATGCTCTAGGTCAGGAGTGTGAGCACATGGCAATGCTCGGCTCCAATCTTCAGTCAAAAAGCGGCTGCCTCCAGTCCGAAGACAGGCCTGGTAGTGGCCGGAGTGAGGTTCGACACCTCGGTGAACCACAACGGAAATTATCTCAAAACGTTTCCAGTGGAAGGTCCAGCTGTGTTCGGTGACGAAACATGGCAATAGACTGTGATTCGGTTCCATCGAAAAGGCTGTGGTGACCTAACATCCATGGTTGGGAACCGATTTACCTGAAGGCAAACAGTGGTCGTGCAATCCGAAAGACCGCAGTGGACCGGAGCTTGCTCATGCCACAAGTTGATCAAGTCCTGAATCGTGCAATCACCATCTTTTGTCTGCTGAAGGAGGATCGGTGCGTAAAGTTGTCCTGAGTCTTCGGTGGCGGCTTCAAGCCTTGCCTCCCATTTGGAAGTGGATCTTCCACCTCCATGTGCATCCCCATGCATGGCTTGTCGAAGTCAGCCAACAAACTCAACAGAGTCTTGCTGTGTCCCCATTTCATGGTTCGTGTACCATGAATGCAAAAGATGACCCAAGCAGCTCGCATCCGGCAGCAACTGATGGTGGTTGGATCGAGAAAGCAAGCGAAGCAAAGGATCTTTCCAGGGTCCTACCTCATGCCAAACAAATGTGTCATTCATGCAGCAGGCCCAAAGCTCAGCCAGCAATGCAGCATTCATGTAGCAGACGTTGCAGCCATTCCCCAAAGAAAGGGCCAAAATGGCCTGTCTCATCTCATCAAGCGTGCTGCAATGACCTGAGCCAATGGCGACCTCTGCAATGTCGATGGTCGGATTCGAACAAAGATCAGCTGCGTAAGCCCGCTGCCGGTCAATTTCTGTAGGGCATCGTAGAGTTCCTGAGCCGCCTGGCCCCTCAGGGAGATGTCCAATCTCCATGGCACTACAACTGAATCCGTGACCGTCGAATCCTGAGGCATAGGCTTCAGTGCCGAGAACCTGTGGATCAAGTCCGCCTGAGCTGCCAGAGTATGAATCTTCGGGATCAAAGCTGCGGCTTCCTCTGATGGAAGGGGATCGCGGGCTACAGGCTTCAGAGTTTTCTTTGGGATCCCATTGAAGGTAATTCCAGGAGTTGGTTGCCGTCAATATCTGCTTGCTCTGAAGGGCACGAATCAATTCGTGATCGTTTGAGCCGAAGGGCAGTTTCGATGCTCGAAAGGCCAGTTCCTCGAATACGGAGCGGAACATGTGTTGTCTCAACGAGGTGGTGACCTGGCCAGATTCCCTCTGCCCATGCCAGTCCTTGCAAGTCTTCAGCATCTGTGGCAGAATATTGCCTTTCCGGCCTGAACAAAGAAGATGAAGCTCTTGTCGAGGTGGAGCTGATTCAGCTGGCCCTCCTGGCGAAGAATCAACTTGGCTAGCATGGATATCAAGCTTCCACCTTCTCCCAAGTCCGAATCCGATGAGCGCGAGGGCTTCCTCTGTCCCTTACGAGCAGCCGGCGGTCGGCTGGCTTGTCCTCCTCCTCTGTTCTGGGACGCTTTGCAAAGTGACTTCCACAAAGATCCATCAGTTTTGCAAAAGACTGATCGTCTCCGCTCATACGTTCCATCTGTGAGGTCAAGTGCAAGACACCGAAGGAACCAATCTTGGGCCAGTACGTGTTCTAGTTCATACAACAGGCTTTGAAAGTGAAAGTGCTGAATCCAGGCTGTCGAATGGAAAGCAATGTCAACATATTGCAGGAGTTCCTGATCCTCTGAGTCCCAAGCCCAATGGCACGGAATCACCAGCGTGGCGAATGCATGAAGCTCGAAGCTCGGCCAAAAGGAACATGCCAATACGGGGCTGTTGCAAAGGACATGGAGGCTGTGGTCAACCAATGGCCAAGTACCTACGGCTGCTCCAGCCGTGCAGATGAGACCTGATCCGGATGCAAATCGTGCAGTTGAGGTTGATGACCACAGTGCACAACCGCCTCCCCTGCATGCCTGTCCTCACTGCCACATTTGGATTCCGACAACAACAGGCCTTGAAAGGCAAGGTTGTTCGTGCCGCCAAGATTCCGAAACTAGATACAGTTCCGGTCATGCTGAACAAACCATGTCAGCACATCGATGCTCCATCGAAATCTTTTCGATGCCCACTGTGCTTGGAAACGGTCGGCCCGCAAAGCCTTAGCAGGTCATTTGTCCAAAGAACATCAGGTTGTGAAGCTACCTTTCTTTGTCTTTCGGCCCAACAGAGACATGACCCCGGGATGCACATGGTCACACACCATACACGTCAGAAGCTGCACTTCGTTTGCACTGTCAGCGTGCCAGCTGTCCTATCTGATCACTTTGGACCTTCCGTGACGACGTTCGCTCCGCCTGAGGCTCAAGAGTCATCAGACACTGCCCACTTGAGTTCGACATGTTATCCAACCTCAGGAAGGCCTGACCGTCAATGCCCTGTGCATGCCAGCTGACACACCAGCATACACCAGTGATCTGGGTCCTGGCAAGGCCGGTGACGGCGGTGGAATGGAACACGAGCTAGGTGCATCGGTTGTGGACCTAGAGGCTTTCTGCATGACTGGCATGATGGGCAATTGTTCAGGTTGAAAGGTGTGCCCCATCATGATCGAAATCTGAAAAAGGACATCATACTCATGAGCACGGGTGCCACGGCATTCACTGTCACAGAAATTGCATCTGCCACGACCACCTCCTATGTTTGCCATGCCATGAACATGCTCTCGAAAACGCTCGGCCAGTGGAACCAGATCTGGATGGCATTCCGTAAAGTGCTTTCGAATCGAACGAGCTGCGATCCGACAGTGACAAAAAGTGCAATGATTGGCAATCTCGTTGATCAAAGCCGTGTTCAGCAGACCTGGGACAGACTTGTGGCGCAAATGCATTTTGAGATCTGGTCTGTTGATGATCGGGTTGATCGACTTCTGGAGCAGGATCAAAGCGAGGACATGATGTTTGTTGATATGGTCACGAAGTTGGTAAAAATCAACGGAGACATGTGAACAGTGCGTGCAAATCGAATTCTTGCCATGCATCACGTAAAGGCTGAAAATATCTTCATGCTGGAAGGTTCTGTGGCATACCGGACAGGCCACTGCCTGAGTGTTGTCCATGGTGGAATTGTGGTCGGGTGGATTGATCAGGGTTCAATCCAGAGATCTGGGACGAACACACAAACATCCGGCCATGGCTTCACGGCGGAGGCGTTCCCGTCTGGTCGACAGGGCCTGTTGGATCCGCCGTCGGTGAGTGAGGATGGTTGTCCATGGAGGTGGTTCACGAATGCGTTCAAAGAAGTGAACCGTGGAGGTCAGTGAGTGCTTCAAGGGCTTGGGCTGTCGATCGAATTATCCCCCGGAGGTGGATGTCATCTGCGTAAACAACCATGTGTTCGTGGAGCCAAGCGTGGGAGTATTTGATCTGAAGATCAACTGGCACAAGGCTCATGGTCAACGTCCACAGTAAGGGGGCATCTTTGGCCTCCTATTTGATTCCCCGATGTGCCTGGATTTGTCCTATCAATTGCTTGAAGGGAATACAGTACTTGTGGGGGGTGAGCCACGAATGCACAAATTGAAAGAGGTCAGGATCCAAATGGTACAACTGTAAGGCTCGAAGCACTAAGGTTCGACTGACCGTATCAAATGCCTTTTCCATATCTAATGAAGCCTGGAGGCCTCCTAGCAGCTTAGGCATGCTACCAATCTTGACGTCCTTGCATATCATGCGTATGGTTCTATAATGCTCTGCTACGATGAGAAGGCACTCACGTGTTCTTCTGTGAGGCAAGTACGCATATAGCGGAAGACATCTAAGTCTGTCGAATGTCTGTTGAACTATCTGCTTGCACTGGATTCCGGCAAGGATCTTGTTGATTGGATGTTGTAAGCAGATAGGTCGGAGTGCCTGAGGTTTGCTTGGGGATTTATTAGGTTTAGGAAGGAGGTGAATCCAACCCGTGGTCCAGTGATCCGGAAGTTGGATGGGGTGGCTTAGCCAAACCCGATTAATCTGATGCATTAAAGGATCAATAAGATCATGTGCGAAATGCTTCCA